AGCTTCACCTGAGCTAATTGGCTACTCCCAGTCACTAAACATGACCCGGTCGAGTTTGTTGAGAAGTTTGCAGTCACATATTGGATGAATAGTATGACTTGTTGACCAGCTGATTATCCTGACAGAAAGTCTGTGCTCCAGATTCTGTGGTAAGTAAAATACCAGTATTTTATTTGTGTTTGCAGGGATTAGCAGGTATCAGTATCTCTGTATCTTGGTTGTTAGCTTAGCTCTGTTACTAGGCCAGCAAATGATTTAGCCCTTGGGTTGGCCTTCAGGTAAGATAGGTAATTACAATGCTAACAGGTGCATATGATTGTTCACTATAGTTATTAAAAACCGACATGAGAAGTGTATATAAGAGTATGTGTAGAGTTTATGGTGATAATACTTTTAAACTCAAGGGGGGTGTGTGTGGAGAATAATCTCCACTACGTTAATTATCTAACGTTTGTAATATTGTTTAACTAGTAATATTAACATTGAAGCTACAAACTCAACCTGAGAAACTTAAGTATTAATGTCATATTCGATCATTGTTTCAGAAGATCGAGTTTTTTTATTGTGGCTGTAAGGTAACGAAACAGTGAATTAAAATATTTTGATAATACTACCACAGCAAACAGAGTGCAGAAACAGACTTTTTGTGATCAACTGAAAAGTAAATATTTACGGTAACATCTGCATTTTAAGAGCAGCTGTTTAAAGTTGCATGACATCTACTAAAACACTTTATTCAGAGTATTGGTGTTGATGTGTTGTAATGTGTTACTAAACTTGTCTGCTGCGTTCATTTTGACATTGTTGACCTCAAGCAGACTTTACTGAATCTGTCAGGCATGTGTTAAATGAGTGAACATGTAAAATGATGTATTTGTTTGTCACATGGAAATAAATAATAAGTGTGACTTCACTAGAATAGACAGTCAAAGAGAGAACCTGAGGCCGATGTCCACCACCTATTTCCAAAGTTGCAGTGAACTGATTATGATCTGATGAACTTTGAAGTAATACATTTTGTGTAGGAATTGTTGACACATATATGACTCTACATATTTATATGTCTGTGTTAAGTTTCCTCTAGGTGACGGTCATCACTTCAGCACTGACTCCAGGTAGAGACCTGTTTTAATAACTTGCAAACAAAGCTAAGTATTTCTTAAATTGATGAAGTGTTGTATGTATACTTAATACATTATATATACAATAATTTCAATGTGGAAGAACTGCATACTGCACATTCATTTTCTTTGTAGTACACTGTTTAATCTTAAACCGTATTAATTTGTTTGAACATCCACAGCCAGTTACTCTGCAATAATGCCTGTCAGGTTTGGAGGTGCGTGGGGAGGGAACAAACGTGTTGGGAAAAAAGGGAAGGAAAGGACCAAAACGCAGAAACTAAATATTGTTAAACAAAAAGTGTATTTCATTTTAAATTGTAAACATAACAAAATAAATCTTCAAGAAACAAAAGTTGCACTCAAAAACAGGAGTGGAACAAGGAAGGACAGGAAACAACTTACGGGGAAATGTGACGAGAGCAGACAGGACACATGAAAAGGACATGACCAGAATCAACGAACCAACAATCACATGGGGGAACAAAAAGACTTATATACACACTTGAACTAATGAGTAACTGGGGACAGGTGGCACAAGACAAACAGGTGAACCTGATGAGGGCCGGAAGTTAAAGGGTGAAAACACACAGGGAGCAAGGACTACAAAATAAAACAGGAAACACTGAACAAACTTATCAACGAGAACA